AAGCCGAATCCGGCCGCGCCGGTACAAATTGAAATTCTACTATATTAGATTTTCAATTTGTACCCGGGCAGCGGCACTAGGCTCAAACAGTCACTATTTTCCGGCTTGCGTGGTACATTGGCTCCCGCCACGCACTTTACCAAACTATCACCACGCACTCTGTACTCAACCCCATCGGATCCACTTCCACAGCTAAAGTGTCAACGATTGTTTTATTCAGCAAAAACTGTTCCGATTCAGTAACTACTATTTAAGAGCAGTCTAAGTACTTCGTTAAGGTTTCTATCAACCTTACTAGAACCCTTGTCCTATCTCCCTCTTTTCTCATTCATCCTTGCGAAGTCTGAATTCTTCCCAGGACTTCTTAATCAGTTTTTTTTCTTTCTTTTTTTTTTTTTTACTCACGCTGAGCGATGCCTAATAAATATTGGACTGACGACCCTGATGAGACGGAGACAGGATCTGGTAGGAGCTATCAGACGTCGGATCCAGATATCACCGAGCCAGACGAGAACTCTCGTAGTATACCGACTCGAAGCCAGACACCACAGTCTCAACGGAGAACACATCCTCCTCAACAACTACAAGGGGGCATTTCAGCACAAATCACTACCTCTAAAGGTCGAACATACAAGGATCCGGATATTGATACTACGGAGAGACTCTCCGATATTGATCCGAATTTCAACCGAGCTGAAGGCACTAAGAAGTTGAAGGAGCGTGTAATTGATCGTTGGCATCGGTTGGTCCTGCACTGCGATATAATTTGTTTTCAATTATAGACGTGTTTCACTCACTCGTGCATAGATTCTGCCGGAAAAATGGAGAAAATGAATCAGATTGCACACGATGGAGCGACCCAGAGAATGCTCTTCGGCAAGCATCCGCAGATTGCATATTTCAATTTTTGAAATGGTGTTTCAAACTAGAATATGGGACGGACGGTCGAAAGCTGCCAGGGTACGGCCAGGCGGGCACTTTTAACACTGATTGGAAGTATTTTCGAATTTATTACGAGGACATATTAGGCCACAAGATGGACAAAGACATGGTGAAGAGCTTACGCACGGTATGGTACCAGCGGACTTATGGTGATGTAATTTTGGATTAACAAATTGTAGGCCAGACAATGGTTAATTCACGAGAACAAGCTGGGCACCCAATCTCGCGACAATGACCCAGTGTATATTGACGACATGATCGAGTTCAATGAGACAATCCTACAAACACGCAAGAAACGGTTTTACCTGGGCATCCAACGGATCATGTTATGCCTGGCCCTAATGCTCGGTCTATTTACTGCTGGCCGCAAAACTGCTATTCTAAAACTCCAGTATAAGCATCTTCGCATCAGTTTACTGCGAAATCCTCACGGGGGACCTCCTATACTCGACATCGCCATCAAACCCAAGTACATCAAATCCCTTCTTGGAATTACAAATCTGTATGCTAAACAAATGTCTACTGAGAAGATCAAAACTGATGTCATAACAGGAATACGTTTTCTTTTCCCGAGATAATTCTCGGTGTCTCTCTCGTGTTCAGCCCGCATGTGTTTATCATGGGACTGTTGCTGCATGCGAGGGCTTTCCAGGCTAATATTAGATCAATGGATGATGTTCGTCGCCTTTTTGTGATGCGTAACTGTCAAGAGTTACCGTTGCCATTGAAGGAGGAAATGGATAATTATTATCTGTTCTGCAAGGTGGATTTGATTGATGGAAAGCCATGGATTCTTCGCGATCAACCTATGAGTGATAGTCAATACAATGCGGCTATACGTGCCATTTCGGAGATTATGGGACTCTTAAAGTGGTTCTTCTTCCATCAATTCCGGTATGGCACAGGAAAAATTCTTGACAAAACCGGTACGTGTCTTGACTGCTTGTACACGGTTTGTTATTATTGACCAGAAGGCACTAGAATGGGTGAGTGACTCTGAACGCAATTTGATTCTCAATCATGCCAATACTTCCACCTTCCTCAAATATTACCGTCCCAGAAACCACACTCAGATGCAACAAGCGGTACTTGGGCTGGACCCCAATGAGGTTATCGATCGAGCTTTGACTAGCATTAGGCGTTACGCTGATAAACGACGACCACGTTATCTCGATGACACTCAAAAGGCTTTGGTGGAAGATGATCCAGAGTTGCAAACTGCTATCAGTAACCGGGATGCCCTGCTAGACCAATTTCAGCAAACTCCGGATGCCACGCTCGCACATGCTGTCGCTGAAGCAGAACGTAACATCAAAAATACGCGGCAGCGGTTGCGATATCGGAGAAAAAAAGAAGTCCGACGAGCCTTTAGTGATGAGCAAGCAGTCAAAGATGCCAACGCCCAGCTCTCAGGAACTAATCTCCTAGAAGATGAGTTGAACGAAGAACTGGATGATGATACACCACCGGAGCAGACCATGCTTATAGAGGGGTTAATGGCTGTCCCGGTAGAATGGACATTTGAAGGCGAATGGCAGCGACGCAATGTAGGCACTGAGGTTATTATCATGTATTGCGATTATGAAGAAGGCGGACCACTTCGAGGCCGGCCGAAAGGCAAACGACGTCTAAATGACGAGGTTAGACTTTTGAGCGTGGAGACAAAGCAGATCGAAAAGACGGAGGATGATAAACCTATTATCGAAAAGAAACGCAAAATAGAACAGGAGCAACCCCAGACTGCCAAAAAACCTCTAGTTTGCTTTCAATGCGGCAAGAAGTACAGTCAGTATCAAAGTCTTCTCAGACACTTCCGACCAATACATATGAACGATCGAAGATGCAAGTCCTGCGCTGATGGAATGGAGTATCTAGAACAGATGCATTGGCAATGTCATGTTGCCGCAGTACACCAGTTAAACATATGACATAGGACAGACTGATCGTTCCGAACTCGGCATTGAGTGTGAGTATGCTTATGCAATGTCACGTGCTTATATCAACCCTAGTCCGAGATATGTTTCTCATAGGTTAGAGTTCTTGAAAAAGTAGCAAAATGATGAAGACAATAGAACAACCTGAACTACGATAGCAAGTATTTACCTTAGACATGCATTATAGACATATTTTGTTTTGGTCGCCCCTCTACATGAGTCTTGTGCCTAATACACATCACATGACCCTAACTACTTACTTAACGTAACCGGACACCCACCCGGCCACGACACCAACCCGGCCACTCCCTCCGGAAAACGCGCTCTATATTATTACTAGATTTTCAACGCGTCGTTATGCCACCAATTCGCAATAAAAAGGCGTCAAATTCAAAGGAAATAGAAGGCCGCATCTTATTAGCTATTTCCAATTTAGAAAATGGACAAATTCGCAGTATTCGTCAAGCTTCAACTATCTATTCTATTCCTCATACAACTCTCCAAGATCGACTCAACGGCATCCAATCAAAGAGCGAAAAACACACAAATAGACATAAATTAACAGAAATCAAAGAGGAGTCAATTATTAAATGGATATTTAACCTTGATAAGCGTGGATTACCTCCTCGGCCTACTCTTGTACAAGATATAGCCAATTTACTTCTTTCTCAACACGGAAATAAACAAGTTAGTGAAAGATGGATTAATTGATTCATTAATCACCATCCAGAGCTAAAAATGCAATTCTCACAACAATACAACTATAAGCGGGCTAAATGCAAGGATATTAAAGTAATCCAAGAGCATTTTGATTGTGTACAAGAGGCTATACAAGAATATAGAATCTTACCTGACGATATATACAGCTTTAATAAGACTGGCTTTGCTATAGGGCTCTTCACATCTACAAAGGTTATTACAGGTAGTGATCGATATGGAAGGCCTTATTTATTACAACCTAGAAACCAAGAATAGGTTACTGCAATTGAGGCAGTCAACTCTACTGATTAAGCCTTACCCTCATACATGATCTTTAAAGCAACAACTTTTTTCCAAAAAGGATGGTTTGAGACTCTTCCACAAGATTAGAGACTTAATATCAGCAATAATAGATGGACAACAGATAAGATTAGGATAAATTGGCTCCAAAATCACTTTATTCCTTATACAATTGATTGTACGAAGGGCAGATATCGGATACTTATTCTTAATAGCCATGAAAGTCATCTTACTGCTCAATTTAATCAAATCTACATGCAAAACAATATTATACCAATCTATATGCCAGCTCACTCTTCACATCTTTTACAGCCTCTTAATATGAGCTGTTTTACTATTTTAAAACAACAATATAGACGGTTAGTTGAGCAGCGCATACAACTCGGATATAATCATATTAATAAGCATAATTTCCTTAAAGCCTTTCCAGAAGCTCATACAATAACATATAAAGTTAAAACTATTCAAAATGGCTTTGCAGCAACTGGATTAGTACCTTTTAATCCAGATCAAGTCTATCAACAGCTTCATATTCAGCTTCAGACCCCAACACCCCCTTTAAGAAGTGATAATACCAATTCACAATCTTCCTGCTTTCAAACACCTCAAAATCTACGCCATTTCAAACACCAATCAAGTACAGCTAAAAAGCATATAGCTCAACAGCCAACAAGCCCATTAAATGTGGTTAATTAGGCAATCGAGCAGATGTCTAAAGCGTACAAAATAACAATAAATGAGCTACTAATTATACGAAAAGAAATACATGATTTACGGGCTGCAAATGAGAAAAAGAAGCAAAAAAAAAAGACAATCTAAGGCTCAATTACCTCACAAAGGCTCCCTTACTACGCAAGAAGCTCAGACTCTTATAAATAATCAAAATGAGACATCTCAACCTCCTCCAGCCGCCCCAGCTGAATCCGAGGCTCAAGCCTCTCAACCACGCGTACGAGCGCCACCAAAGTGTAGTAGATATGGAATTATTGGACATAAAATTAACAGATGTCCTAATCATACTACTGGTTAAATTTTTGTATATAATTATTATTTCAGTTAGAAATTTCGGGGTAAAATTAATATAAAGCGCGTTTTCCGGAGGAAGTGGCCGGGTTGGTGTCGTGGCCGGGTGGGTGTCCGGTTACGTTAACTAGTTACGTTAAGTTAAGGGTATTATTACATAATCCGTAAGTCCGTACCCCTAACTTTGCCCACGTGGAGATAACTACTTATCTTCTTTCTAATCCATCACTATTCACTACCTTATATCCTTCACCTTGAGATATTCTATGCATCAATGACGTGTAGATATAATATGACTGCTCTTTTATTGATTAGACGCATGGCTGCCTATATGGACTGGAAGGAGATATAGTCAGGTGCGAAATCAATCTCTCCCATGTTGTTGCAGACTAGATTGTCATTATAGCATTCTCGCGTCAATCGAGAGCTGTGAGGGAATCACTCTCTGTGTGGTGGTTGTAGGAACGGCTTGAAATGATGCGAAAGCATTGTCGGACCCCCGGTAGGCTCGCCGTGAGGATAAATAAATTAGACTCAAACCCACTGAGTATTCTGTCAGCATACACACGGCCTGCCAAATGCTATAGAACTTACACGAGCAATGCCACAGGTGCGGAATCGTAGGTTTCATCGCTGGAGTGTAAAAGGGTAATTGTGACGGTCAGCCGGACCGCGCCCGTTATCACAGTTCTATCTTGCAGGGAACATTAATGATGCAAAGGCTTTACTTTCCACAGAACATCGCTTACATGAAAAATACAAGCATCATCGCAATAATGCGCACTTTGTCGGTAGAGGTCAATTGCGAAGATATGACCAAGGAAACCGGAAGTATTGTCAATGTCAGATCGGAGAGGATGTTTAACACAGCAATCGCCACATAGACTGCGCCGCGGTTGAGACACTGTCCGTTTTCAGTTGCATTCCACGACTTGGAGATTGGTCGACATGCGAAAATCAGACAACCCGAGGTCGTGATTGATCCAATAACGATGACACAGGCTACATAGTATATGCTGGCACGAAAGCGACTTTGGGTATTTGTGAGTCGATATAGAAACAATAGCTGCGCAACTTTTGCCAGGCAGAAGCTAGACATAAAAAGGCATATGGCACTGAGATACAACTAACCAAGTATAGTTAGCATTGCGTATATTCTGGCAGGGGTACATGTGTGGCGCTACTTTCTGATATTGATTAAGTGTTGATAGAGCAAGATCAGCAATGTGGACTCCAAGTCCCGCGTGGTTAAGGGCATCTATGCTGGTCAATACACGCCAACGGAGATGGAGAGTTTACTCACATAAAATCACTGTCTGAGTACCAAGTGATAGTCCCTAAGATCGACTTAGTTTCAACCAGACATTGACGGTGTGTAATTCTCACCCAAGAGATGAGCAGACAGACTGTGACTTTGTCAGCATCAAAAGACGCAAATACCACTGGAAAAGTACAGTGTAGAGAGTATACCATCGTCCGCGGTGAATTTCACCGAAGTGTGACGCTTGACTGCAAGATGAATGGCCAGGGATATCGTGCTTAGAAACAGCCCTGTAATCAGTGTATCTTGGATAGGCGAGTAAAGATATGGCAAGCGTGTGTTTTCTAGCATTCTGCGTTTCAATGTTCTTTCCTTCGCGGGACAGTAGCAATATTGTTGTTCTGCCATTGACCAATATACAATTTCAAACTGTGCATCTAGCTAACTAGTATAAATACATGCTGTATCTGAACTCGAATTTCTTATTACAGTTCGACACCTCTTGACCTAACCCCGTGTCGATGAACATGCATGATCTGGCGCTTCTAGGTGATGTAACTCCATCACGGGAAGAGTAAAGAAATATGGGTTATTTTCTCCGGATAGCTTACGCACGGGAATAAGGTTGAGAGTGTGGTCATTCATGGATTAAAGAAACATGGCACACACAGGAATAAACTCCGAATCGCCACCTTTTCTAAAATGAAACGCTTCTTTCGACGAATCAAAATCGATATATATTCCATATGTCCATTTGCAGATCACTAGGCATTCGTTCCTGTTTCGAATCCCTGGGTGCACGTTCCAGTTCGGGCATTGGATATACCCGTTCTGATTTTGAGTCACGGTTGTTCCCGTTCGGGGTGCTTCTAAAGTTGCTCGGCTTTGAAAAAAGACAATACTATGGAATGCCTCAAACAAAAGCAATCACCCGCAAGCGGTAGTAGCTAGGTATAGAAGCCTTTTCGTTCTTGTTGGTCGGTTGAGTTAAGCTAGGGTTGCAAGTTGTTCTGCTAGAAGCATCATACTAGTCAATCCTCATTCATTGAGATAAATTCCGCAGCATGTGTTCGATGCATCGGCATCAACATCTGCTGTAGTATACATGCCCAAAAAAGAGAACCGACTAATCTAAATGATCGTACCGTGGTTTGGCTATTTTTTTTCTTTTTGATTGACTGATCAATATAGGTTCTAGTAGAGTGTATGGTTGTTTGAAATGTAGAATCTCCGTCCTTATAATTCAGTGCATGAGACAATTCTAGATTAGGATGCGAGACTTTGAATATCCTCCGCGCTTAGCCTTCTTCATCACCTCCATAATTCAGCTGAATGAGGGTAGGTGTTCATTCCTCTCCACCAACTTCGTCGTTTATCTCTTCTAGCTTTTGCTCTTGTTTCCGGCCTTGTCCGTGCGGAAAATCGTCTAGTGTCATATTGACGGGGATAGGGTAGTAATTTTTCTATTCAATGTCAGTCCTAGTACAATATCAACGAATCGAAACAAAACATACCAATTTCAAGGTATCAGGAGACCAGAGTCCTTCTGGGTCAGAGCAAAATGTAGTGACACGTCCCGTCTCTCGGATTCGAATACCAAGAACTATCTCTGCATCACAGAGAATGCTCATATCGACTGCTTTAAGAAGAAGGCTTTTCATTCGTCTGCTGCGCCTCTGAAGGGCGTTGCGTCGCTCGATTTTCGGATCCATGGGGTGTCTGACTCGTAATATGTATATAATTGATTTGTGATGCTTTGAAAGAAGGGCCTGTATCTTATTTATATCTGCTGTTTCTAATGGCTTGTCTTAAGGAACAAATTATACAAGGGGTTCGTTCTCCCAAAAAATCCTCCAGCCACTGTGCCGAGAATGACAATGGCAGGAGGTTGCCTGGCCCTGTGCTCCCCTCTGAGCACCGATCAGTCCAGACAGAATATCCACGTTTAATTGAGATGTAGATTCCTCGAATGGAACCTCTGTCACGACGACATTGTGGAAACCGATTGAGCGAAGAGTTGGTTGATTAGCCGAAAAAAACCGTTTCAGGGTATCGTACTCGATCATCATATCACACATGTCAAGCTGATCGATATTCAGATCCCATTGTGAAAGTAACTCCAAAGCGGAATCGGAATTCGTCATCTTTAGACTTCGTATACCAACGAGCAGCTCCTGTAAATGCGACGATAGGGACATTAAATCTGAGATCTCGTACTGATGTCCGGCCTGAATTTGAAATCCCTGCAAATGAATACTGTCGACTTGGTCCAAGCCCCACTTGATTCTGTCAGAGAGGGCTTGTGCAATCACTCGTATGTGGTGTGTGTACAGCCCCTCGGTTATATTCGTGTTGAGACCAATATATGCTTCCAGCCATGGTTTCCTCTCCAGAGGCATACAGAACCACACTGTGAGTTCTTTCAAGTGTGGAAATACGCACAGACCTTTCGATAGTGCGGCTTGGTCGATGCGATTCTCAATGATTTGATTTTGTTTCCTGCACATATTCTGCACAGTTTGAAAGATCGTCATATAAGGCAGACATTCTCTTGGTAGAAAACCCAGATCAAAATGAGATTTAGCCACTTCCACATAGGCTTCCGGCGTCAAAATAGAACATTTGAAGAAATCAAAATTGGTAACGTCTGAAAGATAATTAGTTGGCGATGCAAATTTTCTAGTACTTCTCGTACCTGTTTTCAGTAGCTGTGGAACTACATATGTGAAAGAAGTCACTTGTTGGCATAGCGCGGACGTTGTAAGGTTCATCAGTGTTCCGAGGCTGCTTCTTGAGAACCTTACTCGTATTGAACCAAAGAGAGACGGAATACATATCGCTCTTGTTCTTTTGTCCACTAGCGATAACTTCTTGACTTCCAAAGATGGAAGGTAAGAGATAATGAGCAGTACTATCTCTATAGGCAAGTGCATGACTAATTTGGCGAACAGGGTACACGAGCTTAATTTGGTGTAGTATATGTAGGCTGCGAGGCATGGAGTTACACTAATGAAATTAAAGTACCTTTTTTTTATAACCGAAGTTTAATATTCTGCAAGATAGAGATTCATTGTGAGGTGCTCTCGCGTTGCCGGAACGGGGCTGCTACTGGAATTAGAATCATTGGGGGAAATGGACTCGTTCCAAAAGGGTTACCAGTAAGTTAGGAAGTGTTCCACACTCATGTTGGGAAAATGCTGCCAGAAGCCAACTCGGCCCCGTTCAGAACTGGTACCTGGAGTTAAAAAAACTTTACTGGCAGGATTTATCAATCACCATAACCTAAACGTAGTAGTCGGAACTAGTATACAATTGTATACGACACAACAAGACATAGTACTGACAACAAGATCAGGTGAAGATAAGATAGAAAATACTGCTATTGTGTCGGAAATAATAGTATATGTAACAACAGGATATCATATACTTCATACATAACGGCGGCCTCATACAGCTGTGTGTGGTCCTTGAACTCCCCCGATTGTGATTCATTATATTGGGACCTTTAAGTGCCGCAGGGAGCAGAGCTTGTCCGCTTCAAATTTCACGAGGCGCTGCTCAGGTTGCTAATTACATACAGAGGTTATCGGAAGTATATCTAAGCAGTTTGTTCGGTTACGAGCGATGGTGGGAAGTGGGAAACCACAGAGCTGGCTAATCAACATATACGGTGCGGCATTAGAGTAGTGGACCTCGGAAATTTGAGGAGTCAGACGTTCTTTTCAATTTAAAAACTCTTTTCATTAAACTTGTTCAGTCTAGTAGAGCATCGGTCGGGAAGACTCTTGTTACTCAGGTTCTGTTTCAGATCACCCAAAGGCGACCTCCCAAGCCTGTCAACAAAACCGTTACCAAGGAGATCTCCATTTCGAGGTTCTGTCCGCTTGTGCAGTTGATGTATAAGGTATCTGATACGTGGTCGGATTCTGGTGGGATATGCGGCTTGGTATGAATGAGAGACATCTCCTAAAATATCAACAATCAAGCCTATCATGTCACACCGTTGTCAGAAAGTTACATTGTAATAAATCTCTAAGTTGCAATTTCAAAAGGCTATCTGTTATTCCTCTGAAGGAATACGAGTTTACGTCGTGGTCCTCTTAGCGACATAGAGACCCACCCTGTGCATTGGGAAGATTGTCAAAACGGGAGCAGTGATCTGGAACGGAAACAGTGTAAGGTATCCCGTTTGGTGTCGTATGAACCGTCTTGTGCTGTAAGAAATCCCGTTTGGTGCGGTACAACCCGTCTTGTGCTGTAAGAAATCCCGTTTGGTGCGGTACGACCCGTCTTGTGCTGTAAGAAATCCCGTTTGGTGCGGTACGACCCGTCTTGTGCAGCGTCAATAAGGATTCCTATTTCATGTCAAGGCATATCTGTTATGAAACCTTGGAGCAGGATCATCTAGCGGAATCCATAAAGGAAGCACTGGTCACCTAACGGGACATCTCCCCGAACGGGAATGTAACAACCGTACTGACACCAAGTCACGCCGACATCAACTCGCACCGACAGCGTACGTTTCCGTTTGGAGTCAAGTCAGTGTGCTCTCATTCGATTTTCATGATCCGTTTAGTGTCGTATGCACCGTCTTGTGCTGTAACAGCCATCAACAATCTTCCTGTTCACGACAACGATCTTGTCTCGAGTCAATATGTGTAACCGTTTGGTGTTGGTAGATGATCCCGATCTGTAATGGTTTCCAAAAAACCAGAAAAAGGTAGCAATCCAGTGTGATTAAGCTAACATCAAGGCACGTATGTACATTCGAGAGAGCTATACATTCGTAATATGTCAAGATGTAAGGATTATACGCCTGTAAAAGCTATACATATGTATGCTCTTTCCATATGTATGCTCTTTCCATGTGTACGCTCTTTCCATGTGTACGCTCTTTCCATGTGTACGCTCTTTCCATATGTACAGCTTTTACATATGTAAACGTTGTACATATGTATGAGTT